CAATGACAAAAAAGAAAAGCTTGTAGTTAGTTCAAGGACTGTTTGTTGGCCTTTAGGAGTGTTTTCCGGTGTGTGATAGGGCACCGAGCCCTGGCCCCAAAGTCTTATTTTTGGTATTCCCTGGGGCCTTTGTTGCTCTGTTCCCCTTGCTGTTCTGTTACATGCCCTTAGTGTTTTGCCTCAGTGTGGTGGGATCAGATCGGGCGTAATTCACACACACACACACACACACACTATTGGTTTTGTTTCACACACTCACACACACCATTGGTTTTGTTTCTCCAGAGAACTAGGCATAACACACAGGGCCTTCCAAAACTTGTCTGCTGCTGATAAAAATAACCTATCTTGTCAGGCCACTGTTGTTATCTATCTGCTATCAGCAGCTGAGTGTATTCCTGATGATATAGCACTTACTTACAATAACTCATTGATTTGCAATATTACCTCAAAAGTCAGTATTATGAACGTCGATGAGAACTAAGGCCTAGAGACGTGCCCTGAAGATGCCTACAGCACGCAGCGAGCCAGGGACGGTACGAGATGCACTGCAGGTCTCTCGGACTCTCAGGCCTGCACCGTCTCTTCACCTTTGCCGCACTACCCCACAGGAACAAGAACACAGAGCTGGCTTTCCAGTGATCTCCTGAGAGGACTTGTGGGATCAGCAGACGCCATTTATTCAATAGTCACTGAATTGTGTCAGGCATGGAAGTGCTGGTGGGGGGAGCGGGGGGCGAGGGTCAATCACTATGGACAAAGTCCATGCAGCTTATCAGATCATAGAAAACAGAATGAGCAAGTAGACATAGACTGGGGGTGGGGGGATAAGACCACAGAAAAAGCAGTCAGGGAGGTTTACCAGTTGGCATGAAGTCAACCCCAACTTTTGTGTCAAAGGACTGTGCTTCGTGGGATTTCCTGTAACTGTTTCTTGAAAGATCACCAGCGCTCTCTCCCAAGGTGTCTCTGATCGACTGCAACCTTTCCATTAGCAGCTGGACATGCTATTTTCAACATCTACCGATTCCACAAGGGGGTGGGGCATGCTCTTTTTTAAACAGGTGAGGGAAAGTCTCACCAGGGACGTTCATATGTGTATAGAAAAGAGCTTTATATAAAGAATAATTGTACATGAAGCAAACATCCCAGGCCAGTCCAGATCAAGTCAGTAAGTCCAACATTCGCCCAGACGTCCAGTCGGTAATGTCCTGTTCAGTCTCACGCAACGACATGCAATGACGCTGGACGCAGGAAGATCACAGGCCAGTGGGTGGAGAGTCTTGTGGGTCCAGTGGTGGTGGAAGCATCTCAGCCCTGGTGTGGGTCTCCACGTGGCTCCTCCAGCCCCAAGTCTCTGGCTGTATCAGCTTAGCTCCCTCAGGCTCATTGTCTCTCAGGGAGTAAATGTATGTTGGCCTCCAGTGAGCTATTTATCTCCATGGGGCCTTCAAATTAGGTCCACAAGCTGCGTGACCTGATTGACAGGGTAGACGCCACCCCTTCACAAATTGACACCAGATTATGTAACTACCAGTCTCTAATCTGAGGTGACCCATCTCTTGGGCCTCTGAGGAGCTAGGAGATGAGCCCATGGGGACCTTGGGAGTGAGGTGGGAGGAACTGAAAGCATAGAAGGCCCAAGCAGGAGTGTGTTAGTGTGCCCAGGAAGGTGGCCAGCGTGGCTGGTATGAACTGTTCCCTGGGGCAAGTGGGAGGTCTGCACCTGCAGGGGCCTTTGTGCTAAGGAATGTTGAGGTCTCACATGAGGCCTCACAGGGGGTCTGGAGAACAGACATGGTCTAGCTCACAGGCCCGTGAGGACAGAGGAAGGAGGGAGTGGAGGAGTAAGGAGGCCACAACCACCCAAGTGAGACGCTACTTGCCTGGGCCTGGACGGATGGTGGAGGTGAAGGGGTGGACGGAGTCCGACTGGGGACATGTTCGGAAGGCAAAGCTGACAGGGTTGACTAGTGGACTGAATACGGCACAGGAGCAGAAGTGAGGAGGATGGAGGTAAGCCTTTGGCCTGCACCAGGAGTGACTATCACCCAAGATGGCAAGACTGCAGGAGTAACCGGATTGTGCTGGGGTGCAGAGGTGTGTGGGACTGGGGTGTGTATGGTTTGGGGCGTGAACACACTCACAAGAGGCACGGGGACAGGGCACGTCCTTGGGAGAGGCCCCGCCTCAGCAGGGGACGATCTCAAGGGGCACGGATCATGACTCCCTGCATCTCAGCTCCCAAGGCACCAGCGCTTACACTTCCTCCTCCTCAAGCAGCTCCCTTGCTCCCTTGGGGCCCCTGGTGGTGTAGTGGTTGTGCCTTGTGCTGCTATCGGCAAGGTGAGCAGTTTGAAACCACCAGCTGGCCCGAGAGGAAAAGATGAGACTTTCTACTCCCATAAACAGTTAGTCTCGGACGCCCACAGAGGCAGTTCTACGCTGCCCTGCAGGGTCGCCACGCATTGGAAATTACCTGATGGCAGGGAGCCTGATTCGGCTTTATCCCCTCGCCCCTAAACCACCAGACATCCATAAAGAGGTGTCAAGAAGCCAGTCAGGTCTAGCCAACTAGAGAAGGTCTTGGTGAAGAAGGGGGGCTTTGATGTCAAATGTAACCAAGACGGGGTCCTGGGTGACAGGGGCAGATGGGAAAACTGGAATTGGCTAGAGAACGGACTGTGGAAACAGACACCCGTGCTGCATTTGTTCCCGCGATCAGCACAGGGAAACGCCTCCCTTCAGAAGGAGATCCAGAGCCCCTCCTCCCCGCCCCGGCTTCCCTCCCACCCGTTGCTAAGTATACCGAGGCCTGGGTGTGAGCCATTCCTAGACAGACTCAGCTTTCGCCGCCAGACTGGATGTGGGCTTTGGGGGGGAAGGAGAGGAGCGGGGGGATAAGCAGCGATGCCCACGCCTCAGGCGTGAAATGCCACAGACCCCTCTGCCGCGAGGTTACCCACACCACTCCCCACCCACCGGCCCCTCAGGACTAGTCGTGCCACGCAGACAGCACACCACAAGAATCGGCAACGTGAATATTTATTAAGATTCATTCAGTTTTAAAAAAATAAGCCCAGACTCTCTGGGCAATAAGCTAAAAATACAGTAAAAAGCAGTTTCTGAGTGCTAGCTACACACCTTGCCAGCATGCAGTGTTCCTTCTGGGAGGGCAGAAGCCCTCCGGGCACGTCCACACCATTCCACAGCCCCTCCCCATTTTCAAGAGTCCCTGCTGAGACGAGACGGAAGCTGAGGCACACGGGTGAAGGAGACTGGCCTGAGGTCGGACTGCCAGGAGAGGCAGGACAGGAATCGGGCCCGGGAATCGCTGGCATTTCACCCCAAATGTCAGTCAGGGTACACGTTGGTGGCCACTGCTTAGCAGGAGAATGGCCACTGTCTTCTTCCAAGTGACCAATAACCTGACCACTGTGGGGCAGCAGCGAGGGATGGGCAGGGAGCCAGGCCCAGGACTGAGAACCCAGCGATCAGGGAGGGCCCCATTGCTGGTTCCGGGCTCCCCATGGCCCAGCTCT